AGTTGTATGTAGGGTTGCTATGAGTTAGAACAAAATCATTAGCACCTGACAACAATAACAGTCACTGATCATGTTTTCTAAAGAACCTTAAAACATTTTGGTACCGAGAGTGGTGAACAGAATCTTAAGGATGAGTTTTCTGAATTGGTTTTGGGATTTCTGGAATTGGTTCTCAAATAAGGTTAAATTTAAAGGCAATAATTACTCTATTTCCATAAGAAAAGAGTGCACTGGTAGTCCATCGCAGCATGATGTGGCAATGTTGTTGTTAGGTGCCCTTAAGTCAGTTCTGAATCATAGCGACCCTATGTACAACAGGACGAAACACTGTCTGGTCCTGTGCCATCCTCACAATCGTTTCTTTGTTTAAGCCCATTGTTGCAGTCACTGTGTCAATCCATCTGGTTGAGGGTCTTATTCTTTTTCACTGACCCTCTACTTTACCAAGCATGATGTCCTTCTCCAGAGACTGATCCCTCCTAATAACATGTCCAAAGTACGTGAGATGTAGCCTTGCCAACCTTGCTTCTAAGAAGTACTCTGGTTGTACTTCTTCCAAGTCAGATTTGTTCATTTTTTTGGTAGCCCCTGCTATATTCAACATTCTTCGCCAAAACCACAATTCAAAGGCATCCATTCTTCTTTGGTCTTCTTTATTCATCGTCCAGCTTTAACATGCATATGAGGCAACTTTAAGACTATGACTTGGGTCAGGCACACCTTAGTCTTCAAGGTGACATCTTTGCTTTTCAACCCTTTAAAGAGGTAGTTTGCAGCAGATTTGCCCAATGAAATGTGTCTTCTGAATTCCTGACTGCTTCTTCCATGGGTGTTGATTGTGGATCCAAGTAACATGAAATCCTTGATAACTTCAATATTTTCTCTGTTTATCATGATGTTGTTTATTGGTCCAGTTGTGAGGATTTTTGTGTTTTTTATGTTGAGGTGTAATCCATACTGAAGGCTGTGGTCTTTGATCTTCATCAGTAAGTGCTTCAGGTCCTCTTCACTTTCAGCAAGCAAGGTTGTCATCTGCGTAACACAGGTTGTTAATGAGTCTTCTTCCAATCCTGATGCTGCATTCTTCATACAGTCCATCTTTTCGGATTATTTGCTCAGCATATAGATTGAATAAGTATGGTGAAAAGACACAACCCTGATGCACACCTTTCCTGACTTTAAACCACACAGTATCACCTTGTTATCTTTGAATGATTGCCTCTTGATCTATGTACAGGTTCCTCATGAGCACAATTAAGTGTTCTGGAATTCCCATTCTTTGAAATATTATCTATAATTTGTTATGATCCATACAGTTGAATGGCTTTGTATAGTCAATAAAACACAGGTAAACATTTTTTGGTATTCTTTGCTTTCAGCCAGGATCCACTGGACATCAGCAATGAGATCCCTGGTTCCCCGTTCTCTTCTTAATCCAGTTTAAATTTCTGGCAGTTCCTTGTCCATCTACTGCTGCAGCCACTTTTGAAAGATCTTCAACAAAATTTTACTTGTGTGTGATATTAATGATATTGTTCGATAATTTTTGCATTTTGTTGGATCACCTTTCTTGGCAATAGGCACAAATATGGATCTCTTCCAGTCAGTTGGCCAGGTAGCTGTCTTCCAAATTTCTTGGCATAGACGAGTGAGCACTTCCAGTGCTGCATTCATTTGTTGAAACATCTCATTTGGTATTCCATCAATTCCTGGAGCATTGTTTTTTGCCAATGCTTCCTGCATCATCCTTCAATATTGCAGCTTGAGGCTTGAATTTATTCTTCAGTTCTTTCAGCTTGAGAAATGCAAAATATCACCATTGGACACTCCTAATCAAATACTTACGTTGTGCATGGGGTCATTATGAGTCGGAACTGACTAGACAGCACCTAACAACAACAACAACATGTTTATCAGAAATTGATTTTGAATTCAGTAAAATACTCAATCTCCTTCAAGATAATGTTTTTTTTTTGATCCATAAATATGGGGAATTATGTAAATATATATGTTAATGTTAGGTCATACTTGTATTACTGGATTGAAGTCTATCTGGTTAGGTGCATTAGTTTTTATGCGAATCTGAATTAGCAATAATTTATGATTTTATAAATGAATATGGTATGATATTTTTTCATGCTTTGTGAGATTTTCACATTAGTCATACTAGATTTATGGAAGAGTTGGAAAGCTTTTCCTTTATGTTTATGATATGGAAATTTTTAAATACAAAGGGAATCATTATCTCCTTGAATGGAAGAAAATCAATAATTAAGCTCTAATATTCACAGGTCTTATTAGATGGTAATCTTGTGATATTATCTTTAATTTCTTCCTTGTTCATTGGTCCATTTAATTTTTCTGAATTATATATATATATATATTAATTTCCAGCTTTTCTCTTGTCTCCTCTTATTGTCAGGCCACATTTTCCACCTTCATCTCTCCAAATTAGGGTATATTAGTTGAATTTTCCAGAACTTCCTACAGTTTCCACTCCTAACAAGCTACCATCCCTTCAGGAAGGGGAGTTTATTGTTGGCTTCCTGAATGTTCCCTCAATTTGTTTCAAAGTGTAAAATATCTGGCAGAAATTATCCAGATACTTTACAGTATAAAAAATGGTATGCACATGGCAACATTCATTATTTTTCAAAGTTTACAGAATCCCCCTCTCCTACCATCAATTCTTGTTCCTTTTCAGTTGCTGTGATGGGCTTTGGGAGTTTTTCTTTCTTTTTTTTTAATTTTTTAATTTCCTTTACACTGCTTCATTTCCTGGAATTTAGAGCATAAGGTTTTTAAACTCTGTAGGTAGACTAACACAATTTGAAGTATAGAATACTCAAATTTTTATTTAAATTGCAAGTAGATTACTAGAAACAATAAATGACAAAATGTGAAGCACTTCTGTCTTGTCATGGCCTTCCATAATTAGTGAAACAGATACATATTGTAGCATAATACCATAGTACTTCTAAATGCAATAAAGAGAAGGCACTGTTTAGAGTCACATGTAAATAAAATCATTATACTTATAAATATACAACACTAATTGTTTTCAATGAGATTCCATGGCGTTATATGTAAAAAGAAGCAATGAAGAAAAAGAAAAATTGATAGACACCATTTAGAGGTTTTGAGTTCCTTAAAATTTTTAAAGAAGTGGTTAGAAGCAATCCATCTATTTCTCAGAGATGATGTTCTTAATTCCTAACAATATATCATGGAAAATGTGAAGAAACGTAATAGAGGTTTTATTCAGTATTTTTAGTGTTATGTCTTGAAATAAAGCCATACTTTTTTTATCAAATTAAAGGGTTTCTTCCCAATTTTCGCCTACTTTCCAGATTTCTCTGAGTTCTTACAGCTCTTATTAAAAGAAAAAAAGGTCTCCAAATTTCTTGGGGATAAATCTGAAGCGCCATAATATTCTTTTTTAAATGTATTAATAGTCACAGCCTTGAAAACCGTTTGGAGCAGTTGTATTCTGCACACATGGGGTCGCCATGAGTCGGAATTGATTCGATGGAATTGATTCATACTTCAACAGGTCTCTGTAAGAGTAAATTTTAAGTCAGGAAAGTCAGCACCAGTAAGTTTACCAGCAGCAAAGGATCAACAGACAATATTCTGATGTCCAGCCTAGTGACACCAAATAAGAACTCTCAAGGGCAAAGGGCTATGGTCCTCATTAAACAAACTATGGATAATATATGATGCTTAAGATGATGACCAAGAGAAATTTCTTCTGAAACACCTCTGAATTGAATAATAAACAATACTATACAGTACCCTTGAGGAATCAGAATTGATGATTGTCCTCTCTGTGGGTTATTAAAAAAAAAATCAAACCTATGCCATCAAGTCAAATCTGACTCATAGTCGGAATGTGACCCTATAAGACAGAGTAGAACAGCCCCCTAGGGTTTCCAAGGAGCGACTGGTGGATTCGAACTGCCGACCTTTCTGCTTAGCAACCATAGCTCTTAACCACTGAGCCACCAGGGCTCCTCTGTGTGTTATAGTATTTTTGAAAGAACCAACCCTTGTTTTTAAGCTACTTAAAATGAAAATATGCAATTTCCAAATTATTTTCATCTGATTTACTCAGTGTTTTCTATGGACTTTAAGTATCAAGAAAGAGTTAAATAATCTAAGTCCATAATCATTGCTATTTCTTGAATCCTATTCTTTCAATGTTTCTAAGATACCCCTGAATATTTTACTGAAGCTTCATGGAGAATCATCACAACTGGGTATTAGAGCCAAAAGTACAGACATACAGATCATGGTGGTACTGACAAGCCATTGCGAAGTCATGCTAAAAAGCCAAAGATTTCAAGGCCGTAGAGAGGAAAAATCAAGGGTGTGGAGTCTCAAAAACAAATCTCTAGTTAAAAATTACTCTTCAGATGGGCTCTGCATATGGAAGGGAGGAGTCAGTGGACACCACCTCCACTCTGCTTTTATTGAGGTTAATAGCCAATAGATAAATTGTTTCTATTTTATGTAGATAAGCCAGTGATGCAGTTATAAGGAATAGTAGAGAGGGAAGAACATCAGAGTAAAACCAAAAAGGAAGAAAGTGAGGGGCCTATACGCAAGCCATATGTACACTAATAGGAACAAAGTTCATCAGTTAGCAGAAACTGATAACCACAGCAGAGAAAAACATCTCTGGAGAGCTAATAAACAGCTGTACTGAACTGGTGAAAATATGCACTCGTGAAAAAAAAGGAAGACCGGTGGGAAAAGGCTGAGCTAAGAAGAGTAGGGAGAGGGGCGGGGCAATGGGAGGGGCGTTGAAAGGATGTGACGTCACAGAGTCAGCTGACTCTAAACTGTTAGCGACAACGTTAACCTGACTGAGAAGCAAAAGGTGAGCTCAGAGGCCTTGGAAACCTGCGCATGTCTTCTTCGTCGGCTTTCTGAGACTTACATTAGTCTTATCTTCGCTGTCCCTGATTCTGGAGACAGTAAAGACAGGCCTCATGAACATGGAAGCCCCTGGAAAAAGCCTGCCGGAGACCCAAACTCCAGACGGAGACAACCGAATCGTGTTGAATACTAACACAAGTACAGACAAAGTTCTTGCCTCACTGGAGGGCAAGAGAAAGCGTAAAGGGTACTTGCCTCCCGAGTCCGTGAAGATCCTCCGTGACTGGCTATATGAGCACAGGTTTAAGGCCTACCCTTCAGAGGCAGAGAAGCGAATGCTGTCAGATCAGACCAATTTGTCTTTCCTGCAAATCTCTAACTGGTTCATCAACGCCCGCAGACGAGTTCTCCCAGAAATGCTTCAACAGGATGGGGACGACGTCAACCAGATCACCACGAACCAACAAAAAGGTAAGGCCACAGATGTGATTCACAGGCAGAGCACTGATCCATCTGTGCGTGCCAAGTCAGGGTCCAGCAATCGAGACACGGCACAACGCCGGCCCCCATGCCCCCTGACAATGAGCCCAAAGTCAGGGGAGAAACTTCTGGATCCAGAGTTGGCCCCAGGCCAGAAGCTGAAGGCCCAGCCAAAGAAGAAAGTCAAGATTTCCACCAGAAAACCCCTGCCTGTGTCTTCTCCCGAACCCATATCGCCAGAGGAGTACAAGGACTTCAGCAGCTTCCAGCTGCTGGTGGATGCAGCCGTACAAAAGGCCGCTGAACTGGAACTACAGAAGAAGAAAGAATCCAGTGCATGATATCCCAATGCCCCTGAAAAACCCACATAGTCTCCTGTCTACTGTGGAAGACCCATTTATGATCACACCAACTAATTTGTATTTTTACCTTTTATAGAGACTTCTTTCCTTCTAGCGTTTTATAAGAACCATTGCTAGCTATTGGGACTCAATTCTGCCCAGATATTTCAGTGTTTCCAGATGGGAGATGCTAACTTGTCAACATGATTAACACTGCAGCAAAGATCTCTATTTGTTCTGCTTCTTCCAAGATTTAAACACTTCAGACAATTAGACCAATCCATCAAGACTAGACACTGTGCTGATACTTCAGAGAAGAATGTTTTGGCCTTTCCAGCCAGGCGTTTTGGTCCCAGAACTGCTGCAGATACCAAGTCACCGCTCTTTCTTCCTTTTCTGTAATTTTCCTTGTTTATTAGCATGAATGATAGAAAAGAAAGTCTCTATAAAATATAGCTATAACAGCACTGGCCTCATTTGAATGTTGGAATTTTTGTGAAACTTTCAATTCTGTTTCCCTTTGTTCAGTTTATTCACTATTTTACTGAGCAGTTAATCTATGCATGGAGATGAATGTGAGAGTCAAAGTACAGTGAATTCATAAACATTTTACTGTAAGGGTGACCTCTCATTTGGGGGAACAGTGAAAAGTTCACAGTAGAGACAAAATTCCAGATGGTAATGTTCTGCTGTTGTTTGTTGGTTGGTTAGTTGGTTTCAGAGAGTACTTTTTAATAGCTTTAATTGTCTGCGTCAGAGGGAAAAAATAACATTAAAAAAAGTGAAACTGACCAAAAATTCCCTGAAAGAGAGAGAACCAGAGGAAAATGATTAAAAAAATAACAAACAAAAAAAAATGTGTATATGAAAAGAAGAAATAGAATCAATCCTTAACATTTTATGAGCAAAAAAGAAAGTAGATTCAGGGATGTTATTCTGTTTTGTTTTTACATTTTGAATTATTTTTTTCCTTTTAAAGTCCTTGGATTGGTGGAGGTGGGAACGTCAGAAGCTTTTGGCAGCTACCATGTGGAAATGGTCTTGTCTTAGAGAGGCAGCTCTTCTTACTGCCTCAAATACAGGGAGATTTTCAATAAGAACAAAAAGCTATTCCTCCATAAAGCTGTTATCAAGCCTCCCTGATCTTAGGGAGCTAATATTTAAGGAGCTTGTGGCTAAAAATTAGACGCTAGACTCAGTTTCTGCTCTTGCCCTGAAGTGAAATAGATCATGTTTGTTCTCTACTTCTAGGCCCCATTTTTCATATTCCTATTTAATTATTGGCAATTTTCAATACAAGATATTCTACTTTCTTTAAAAATCTTAAGAAATAACCACGGGTTATTTATTAAAATTTTGTATGAATAACCATGTTTTTAGGAAGTAAACAGGCTGACATTCCCAAACTACCCATTAAAGCACGTGTCGTCGAGTGGATTCTGACTCATAGCGACCCTATAGGACACAGTAGAACTGCCCCATAGGTTTTCCAAGGAGAGGCTGGTGGATTTGAACTGCTGACCTTTTGGTTAGCAGCCGTAGCTCTTAACCACTGCACCACCAGGGCTCCATTCCCAAACTGCTTGTTCTGAAATAGGCAAACTAAAAGTAGGAAGGCATTCAGGTTTCTAAGGTATATATGGGTTTGGGGGATTTGGAAGGGGTTTTGGTTATATCATTACTGGGGACAGCCCCTAAAGACCCAAGGAAGCACTCATACTAATTCTTTTCATGGCTCCAGCTTGGACAATTTTTTGCATATGGAAGATTCCATGGTCAACCTAGGCACTCGAGGACCCTTCCTACTACCTTGTCTTCTAACTTTTATGCTCGAGAGGTCTTGGGAAACGTCAGGCTTTGCTTTGGCTCAGTTGAAAAAGAACTGTTTTTGCAGCTTTAGGGCTGGAGTCTGAGAAAGGAAATTTCTCGTTTGGTTTTTAAAGAGAGTGGTGAAAGTGATTGCTAACCAAAAAGTTGACGTTTCGGAAACCAGCAGCGGCTGGATGGGACAAGGATGTGGCAGTCTCCTTCTGTAGAGGTTGATAGCCTTGGAAACCCTATGGGATCACTATGAATTGGAATTGACTGGACAGCAGTGGGTTTGGTTTTGGAGCCCTGGTGGCACAGTGGTTAAGAGCTCAGCTGCTAACCAGAAGGTCGGCAGTTCGAATCCACCAGTTGCTTCTTGGAAACCCTATGGGGCAGTTCTACTCTGTCCTATAGGGTTGCTATGAGTCGGAATCGACTCGACAGCAGTGGGTTATTTTTTTTTAATGGTTTAATCTCTTCTAGCTCGTCTCTATGTCTGAGTTCAGTTGGATTATTGTGGAGTGATTGTTGTAAAACCTGTTCTCAGAAGAATATGTTGGGATGACAATGGTATTCTTCCATTTCCACAGTGCCCTTTATAATATTGGATTGTATAGTATAATGGTATGCTGGGTTTCACTGCATTATGTAGGGAGAAGGTGTGAGGAGGAACTGTTCTTTGGTGTCTGCCTTGGTTTTTAGGGGCTACAAAAACGGTGAAGAAGCAGTTTTTCAGTTGAATTCAGTAAAGTACAGGAAAGAACTTTTTTGTTGTTGTTGATGTTCTTGTCAAATAAGTGTATTTCTTTACTTCTTTTAATATTAAAGGATGGCTCACTGTGGCTGTCATTTCTCCAGGCTTTAAACACTCTTCAGTTGCAGCTTCTCTATGCTTATTCTTTTCTGGGAGTGACGCTTAGAAGCTTCATTCTACTGTGCTCTGTGCAGAGAATTGGGATAATTTTCTAAAGAAACTGCATATTTTTTAAACCTAACCACCAATTCTATGTTATTTGACTTTAAGAACTATGTAAACTCTGACAAGAAAAAAAAGTCAGTTTCTAACACCATAATCTTGGAGAAATGCAAAAGGTGAAGGTAATAAGACAGCTTGATTGGGCTATTTTCTTGAGTAACATATATTTCTACCGATGTGAGAGTGAGGGAAGTAGAGAGTAGAAAGATATAGGATGCATGGGAAGTCCGTAGGGTAGTTCTAATAAGGAGTAAGGCGTTAATTGGTTACGAATGAAGTGACTCTGTTTGGTAATCCTTCTCTCTCTTCTCCCTCTGTTTTTAAAGGTGTGGAAGTGAGACTCAGCAATGTGTACTCTAAGAGTCTCATATTAAAATAATTTTTATAGAGGGCTGTCACATCGATGTATCTTAAACCTCTGGTATAGGAGCCATTTATAAGCAATTTAGGCATAAGGGAGTGTCTTCACCCCTGTATTCTTTCACACCTCTCAGGAGCATACCTTGCAAGAGCAACGGTTTTCCTTTAGCTTATTTATTTATTAAATCTAGAATGTCTTGTTCATTTATTATCACCTGAGCTAATACATGTGATGCATACAGTTGAAAGAAAAACAAGAGAGTGGGATTCTCTATATTTTATTCAGTAAAGACTAAGGCAAACAATATATTCAATCTATCTGCTAATCTCTCCAGCCAGTAAGGGCATACTTTTTGCATCATGATTAAGCCATTCCAGTTAAAATTTTTTTGTTTATATATGTTTGTTTAAAATCTGCAATAGACCTTTCAACTTCTTTAGTTCATCATGCTAAAATAAGGACATTAAGAGTAAGATAAACACTGGTTTGGCCACCAATTTTCATTATATTAGAAAGAGGTCACATCCGTTGGAGCACATTAAGAGTAAATTGATGGCAGATCAAATGATGTGGTCTTTCACATAGGAAGGAATACAATCATTTTCAATTTTGTACATAGTTATGGATGAATACTTTGTGTTTTTGGAACCTCAAGGGTTGGGACACACGGAAAATATAATCAAAACTAATTTCAACAAAATCATAAATAGCAAACCAAAATCAATGTAAAAAAAGCTAAAATTCACTGGCAGAAACCATTAAGAGTGAAATTCAGGATGCCAACCATAGCCTTTCACAATATAGTTTTGACTACTACACCTATAGGCAAAATGTCTGTAAGTCTAACCCAGAGTGGGCTTTCCTACTTTCAAAAAAAATGCAGATTTGAAATGTAATGTTTATGAATATGTTTTACACTACCTCTCTGGACCTGTTTTGAGTTCATTTTCACTTTAAATAATATTTTACTTTTATTATAGCAATTCTTACTTGCTCAATGATAGTGGCAATATTTGGGTCTTTTAAAGTTAAATTTTTTAATAAAAAAGTCAATAACAGCGAGTGACCAGTATTTTTCTACTGGATACTCTAAATGTTGCAACATGTAATTCCTTGTTATACTCATGTATAACAAATGATTGCTCTTTATGGAGTAATTATTCATGTTATATAACAAAGAGTCTCAAATATTAAAATGCTTCCCAGATATTAGTAAATGTCTTGGTTCACTATATAATCTGATGAAACATTTTATTATTCCTTGTTATTATTATTTATTATTATCCTTTTGAAAATGATAAATTTCTTTTCTTAGCTTTTAACCATATAATATAGCAAAACTTTAATGAGAAAGTGTTGAAATGAGTGCTGATTTTTATAACAGTTACCAAAAAATAAAAACACCCTGGGTGCATGCTACAGTATATTTAATATAAAGCACTTACATGAAAGTTGTCAACTCTATGACATGATGTAAACTTACACTGCTTAACCAAAAATAAAGGCATTCACAGTTTTCTGAGTTTTCACCAGTTAAGTTCTGCAAAATATACTTATGAGAACATTGAAGAATATTAATAAGAATCTAAAATTAAAATATGTTATTAAATCAGAGTAGTAAGTACAACTCTCAAGTAACTAAACTGTGAATAAAAATATATGAGGTGATCTTCATTGGCAAACTGTGCTGTCTCAAGACTGGAGCCATTGTTCACTTTAGCTGGACTAAACCAACATGTTGCAAACCCAGATAAACTCCCTGGAAAGCAGTCAGAGAACATCTTCTTTCTCTGATTATATTGAAGAAATGTATAATTCATAATTGAAATATCACTTGGATAAAATAGTAAATAA